TGGGCAGCTGCAGAACTCCCCACTACCCCACAGGAAGCCTGCACTACCTCTGTTGTCCCTGGCACACCTCCCGCTTGGTGGTGCAGTACCTGAAACGCCAGTCCGTCACGTGCCGGGGATTTTCTTACCTTGCTGCCTTCCTGTGCAGGGGAGAGAGGTGGGGCAGTGGGAGTCCCGGACCACGCCAGTTCCAGCTGCTTGGGCCGTGCGCGTCTTGGTCCTCCGCTCCCCATGGCAGTGCGCGCTGTCTGAGCAGCTGGAGCTGGTGCAGCACTCCCCCCCCCTTCCCCCTTGCACGCAGGAAGGCAGCAGGGAAACAAAGTCCCCAGCACGTGATGGACTGGCGTTTTAGGTACTATGCTGGCTGTTTAGGGAGGAGGGAAGAACAGCCCGTGCACTTCTGGGCCTTGGTGCGCAGCTGCAGAAAGCCAGGCGCCCCCCATAGGTTGGCGCCCTGGGCAGCTGCCTGGCTAGCCCATCCCTTGGTCTGGCCCTGGCCCGAGCAAACACACCAGTACAATCTTTTTTACTAAAAAAAATCAGAAAAGAAAGCAAAACAAACAGACACAAAACCAACAACAGTGAAAGCCCTAGGAATGGGAAGTAGCAAGCAAGGCCAAGTCTACGCTAGATCTGGGCGGTTGGCTTCAGGTACGCAACTCCAGCTACCTAAACTTCATAGCTGGAACCGTCTCACCTTAGCCCAAGCTTGGCACCATCTTCCCAGAGGGAGGCCGACGGGAGCAAACGACTGTGAGGAGGACAGGTGCCGGCTGGAGCTGCTCTCAGCAATCGATTTACAGGTCTTCACTAGACCTGCTCAATCGCACGCCAGAAGAGCGATTGCCGGCATGGGCGAGTGAAGACGTGCCCTGGGGCTCATTACAACCACCCCCCCAGTTCCCTTTCCCTTCGGCTGTACAGAGTTTTTAGTGACACTCCCTTACGTGAGTAGTGTAGACATACCCCCAGTTCCCTTTCCCTTCGGCTGTACAGAGTTTTTAGTGACACTCCCTTGCGTGAGAGAGTCTGTGAGATGGTACCACCGGTGGCCGGGGGAAAGCAGCGAGTGGAGCTGTACATGTGCCTGCTGTTCCGATTAACGGGGTTTGAAGATCCCGTCTACTTCAGTGACAGTGGTAACTAGCAGGGAGGAAAGGGGCTGTCACTCTCTCGGGGAAGATTACGCTTTATTGGGGCCTGGGCACAGAGAACAGTTGGGTCCCCCACCCCACGGCCCTTCTCCCTGCTCCTCCTGCTCCCTCAAAGTCCTGCCCCCCGACCTGGCCAGAAGCGGGGCTGTGCTAAGAGCTACACACGGCGGCTGGGC